AAAATAAAAAAAAAAAGTTATCCATGCCGCATTAAAATAATTAATTGCCATCATTTTTTTTATCTAATCAAATAATCTTACTTATTATAATAGATATTCATAATTCTATTATTGAGTAACTAAAAAAAAAAAAACAAGTAATTAAAATTGGAAATTATTATCTGCATTATCTCGAATAAAAAAAAATTGCAATCCATTCGCGGCATACTGACAGGCGCCATTACGAAATCGTACAGATAACAATATTCACAGACACACAATTACCAAATAACCTCAAAAATTAACACGTGTTATGTCACAATAAATCAATAGGTCATATGATAATAGAAATTTTATTAGCGTTGACGACATAACTAGTTTTGTGAATAAAATATTAACAGTGATACAATAAAAAGTTTTGCGTACCTACAAGTACCATATTTCAGCAAGATCCATGCAGCCTTTCTGGAGATACCTTCTACTAAACACTATCCATCTCAACATTCTAAATATAATATTAGTAAGATTCTTTATATGCCTGGCGCACAAAATCAACGTCAATAATACTGACGCTTGTAGCCAAAAGCAGTCCATCCTAGGACAGCACTACTGTCCTACTGTACTGGAATAATGTAAATCATATATGTATTCTCTTTATATAGCTAAGTAAAAAATGATATTTATTCCTGTCGTAAACTAGGTAACTAAAAACACCATGGCAGGACAACAGGAAATAACTGATATTATTATAATTATAATTTGATAAAAGAATATAAAAAAAAACATTAAGATTTTATTAGCAGCTCTGCAGTATTTTGTTTTCACTGGCAACATTAAATAAATAAATGGTTTTATTTAACTTGTTCTATTTTATTTAGCTAAGATTTACTTATAAAAGGTATATTATGGGCATGTTGAAGGGGGAAGAATCACATGTGAAAGAACAACTTTAAGTATGAATATGGAGGGGTACACCAATAGAGAAGGCCTAGGAAAATACGGATGCGTGAAAGATGACATGATTAGGATGGTGACTATAGATAGATTTGGAGGATGGAAACCTGATGCACCGACCCTACATAAGTGGGATAAAGACAGGGAGATTATTATGTTGTTTTACTTGGCATCTAATAATTGCTACTAACCCACTTCCTTGATAGATTCACCAAAAAGGTCCACATCATTAGTAATAATGACTACACAATACTACATGTAAAAAAATCTTATAATTTTTAAAATTTTATTGAACAAATTTATTTATATCTCATCCCGTTAGCGTTTTGTATACCTTGGTATCAGTGCGGTGACTATTGTAACTTCGCATTACACAATTATGTGCACAATTGAAGAATTGCGAGATAAATCAAGTCAAGTGCAAACTAAACTGACACACTGTATGATATATTGCCAAAGAAAATATACAGTTCAAACCCTAAATAGCGACAAGAGCAGGTTGATAATGAAAACAATCCAATTAACCATGGGTTTCTGAGATTAAAATGACCATTTATACATATTTTTATCTCTCTTTTATCAAATATAATGACAGGAATGACTAAATGTTTTACGCAGAGATTTTAGTCTCTGAAACCAACGGTAAGCTGGCTAAAATAAACAAAATTATTATCTCCTTGGCCTTTTTTATATTTCCTAACTGTCATCAAATCTTAGTAAACTTACAACATATGTGTCATAGAAAACATATATTAAATTTAAAATATCTTACTAATATTATAAATGCGAATGTTTAGATGGATGTTTGTTTGAAGGTATCTCCGGAACGGCTCAACAGATTTTATTGAATTTTGTACACATGTAGAATATAGTCTGGAGGAACATATAAGCTTTTAATTAATTCCGCACGGACGGAGTTGCGTGCGACAGCTAGTATGACATAAAAATGGGCTGACACAATGCTGATATGACAGATATACGGTACCATCTTGTAACACACAAGAATTATGCAATATCATATTTGGACTAAAAAAATAAATTTTACATTGTCAGCTAGAACTGATATTATAGGCATATTTTTCTACAAGCTGTCGCCATCGACTACCTCTTCTCGAATTTAAAAAAAAATAGTAGCCAATATTCTCCCAGATTATGTTCTGTATCTGTCAAATTTCATTAAGATCCATACAGCCGTTCTGAAGATACATTCTAACAAACATCTATCCATCTAAACTTTTGCATTTATAATATTAGTAAAGAAGCTATACAGGCAGGCTATCATATATCATAGCTTAAACAAAAACCTTGCATCATTGCTATTTGCTTATTAATTTTCATATTACGCAGAGAGATGAGAACCAAATAAGTAACAATGTAATAAAGTAAAATGTGGACGGCTCCAAAGGTTGAGGAAGTCTGAAGAAAGTGTGTATGTATTGTGTGAAAGAGAATATGCATAAGAAAGGCGAGAATTCAGATATCACGTCTGACAAGGATATATGAAAGAGTATCAGGGCACAGAGCAATGGCAGGTTGATGATGACCTATTATTTTTATAATATGAAAACAACACTTGTAAGAAGAATTCCAGTAGCGCTACCTACAAAAAAAAATTGGCAATAACATGTTCAATGCCGTAGTATAAATAAGAAAATAATCGGTTAAAACCTCTTTGCTGGAAATAGATGCGTAATATCGAATCTTCAAAATATCTAGTTTAAGGGTTAAATCAGAAGCTGGGTCCCACAGATATAAAAGCACACCGGTGACCGGAGTGGCGTTTAACATGTTAAAATTTAATTCACTTTAAATTGCCTTAAAAAATCAAAGATATGTAATGTTTTTTTTAAATTGCATTTTTATGACCTACCCACAAATTTTTTAACAAATTTTTAGTTTTGTTTAGGACGTCTTTACTTGACATTACCATTGTATTACTATTTTATTTACTAATCTTATTTTTAAAAAAGAACACGAAAAGCGGCAAGCAAAAGCTTTTAACAGTGGAAATCAATAGACAAAGATAAATAAATACTACCTTTTTATATTCTCTAAAGCAATGCACTGTAAAAAGGATAGACCATTATTTACTTGTGTGACATTAAAAAAAAAATAATTGTGAGAATAGCGCACACAATAGACTTATTATGTACATACATAATCGTAAATTTAACGTAAACTTGTGTTTTATGTTAAAATATACAATAAATGAAATGTTGAGATGGATGGATGTTCGAAGGTATCTCCGGAACCGCTGTACGGATCTCAATAAAATTAGGCATACATATAGTACATAACCTGAAAGAACACATAGGCTACTAATTATGTTGTTTATTAATTCAGCTCATAGTCGCGACTAACAGCTAGTATTAAGTGAATTTGAATTTTGAAAGAAAATCTAAAATGAAAAATGAATCTATACAGGGTTAGTCAAGATTGCTTCTGGAGGTTACCAATAACATAAAAGGATTTCTAGGATATTTTTTTCTCTATATCATAAAGTGGCAAACGAGCAAGCGGCCACCTGAAGTCGCTGAATAGCGAAGTGACCGTTGCTCATAGACATATGCAATTGCATATGCCTTGCCTACCTTTAATCGACGGAGGAGAGGATGCACAGAATGAAAATATTTCTCCCTTCCATGCATCCTCTCATCCGGAAAGTCCACTTCCACTTCCCATCCTTTCCTTATGAGGAAAAAGGACTAAATTAGGCCTCCGGGACGCAGCAAGCTAGGTTAACAAGGGTGATTCATGACCTGCCCTCATACAAAATATATTCACAGTCTCTCTACTCTTATTTATCTTCAATCAAAACACTATTTTTTTAAATTATTATCAATACAGTTTTACGATGGAAATCTTACTAATATTACAAATGCAAATGTTTAGATGGATGTTAGATGGTATCTCCAGTATTGCTCAATGGATCTTGATGAAATTTGTCATAGATTTAGAACATACTCTGGAAGAAAACATAGTTAACATTATATAAACTGTAGTGTATCTTATGTACATTAGTATTGTTTTATCTTGCTCTTTATGTAAATCATAGTTTTCATTGTAGAAAGACTAAGCAGATTTAAGTAAGAGCTAAATTATGTTACTTTGTTTGTATACAAAATTTACGTAATTTAAATCCTTTAGCACAAATGGCGCACTTTCATTACCAAGTCAAGTGTCAGAATGATAGTGAGGGAATATAAACATCGACATCCTAGTAAGGCTTTGTTGCGCTAGTATAGGTAGGTTTTTCTTCCTAACAATAGCTAAATAAACTAAAAAAAATATATGTATGTGGTTATTAAATATATGAAATGACATCATTTGAGAGTGTATGACATTTTTTGTCTAATAACATTGTCATAAGAGAATTTGTTTAATTAAATGAAGGTACTTTATATATAATAAACTTATCATCATCAGCTTATTTTTGGCATACAGCATACTAGGCTAGGCATCATTGAGAGGCTCAAAGCCTAGCCAAGTTAGGGGTGACTAGGTCATAGTCAACCACAATGATCCTGTGCGTTAATTGTTTTTTTTTTTAATTTAAGGTTGCATCACATGCACTTTCATCATAAGTAGTAAATTTACAGTATAGAATTAAAAGTGAACTTTTTTCTTAAAAATGAGAGGGATAATTTGGGAACTCAGGTGCATTCAATGGTCACTTACGGCAACATTTTATTTAAGTATATCATTGTGTAATTTCTGCAGTATGTTATGCAATACTATTAGCATAATATGTATATGTTATTAAAATAATAGTATGTAATATGAACTTCCAGTGCCTCCGAAATAACATAAAAATATGTCATTATATTTTGCTTTATATAATTAAGACATTCAACGAAACCAAGTAAGAAATGACTATACTCATAAAGGTTATTGGCCATGTATATGATGTTGCAATAAAAAAAACTGTTCATAAAGTAATATATAAGAAATATATGTAAACATGAACTTCGACAGTCACCATGACAAGTGTCAAGTACATTTAGAGTTTACTTAATCGCATATACTACATTATGACAATTGTAGATCTATAGACTAAAGCAACTTACCTGCCAAGGATTGACCTTCGGTATGGGAGCCTCTACAAACTTCTTGGGTTGATCCTCTGCCGACTGCTGCTGTTGTTCCTGCGAGGGCTGTGGATCAGTGTGGGGCTGAGGGTTCTTATGTGCCCGGGGCGGCGCTCTGCGCTCACGCTCCTTACGACCCTTGCCCGGCCGCCGTCCGTGCGACATCACCGGCACGAAGCCCTCCTCCTCCTCCTCATCCTGCCGCGGCACCACGTCCACTGTCTCCTCAGAAGTCTCTATGTTCTCCTTATTACTATCCCCCCCTTTGAAGTTCAGCACCGAGGCGTACGAGGGCCCTGCGCCCTCGACCGACACTCTCGCGGCCATGCCGCCGCTATCCTCGTTATATAAGCTCGGGCGCGCGCTCCGCGCCGGCCGACGATCACGAGCGCGCATCCATGCCACTTAGCAGCACGACGGCATGCTGCGGGCCGTACCCACGGAGCGAGGCGAACTTTCCCGTAAAACGCGACCCAAATCAATCGCCTGAAGGTCGACTTGTACCGCCGCGGTGCACACAACTAATAACAAGGACTAGAGTTTAACAAATCGAGAGTTATTCGCTGACTTCGAAACACGCACCAGACAGAACCTATTCGGACCGTATTTACATCAAAAAGATAGACTTCCGACGGCTCTTTTAGACTTTCCGATGACACACAACGCTCCGGGCGCACTGTACCTATCGATCCCCTATACTGAACACTGCGAATAAAGGTTTTTTGTGCTGAAAATCACTATTGAACCATATTTTGTTCACAATTCACACATGTGGTCGGACGCCCAAAAAGGGTATTTTCCGCAACACATACGGAACTCGCAGAACTGTGACTTCTAATTTTACAAATAAGACATATTAACGCTAGAGGGCGCTGAAACTGTACTGACAGCGATGGCGTTCAAGTTAAGCCATTTTATTTTAACGATAACAATAGTGTTAATTAAGTCTATGAATTCTTATGTATGTAAAACGTTAATATCACATTTATACTTCCGTATAATAATATTTTAAAATTTTATAACATTCCAGAACAATATGAAGAAAATCCAAGTTAAACAGTAATTGAAAGAACGCATCCTTAAAAGAAATCACATTTTATTTCAAACATCGACCACCGTACCAAATAACAATAAAATAACCTATTCTTTAGCTAATGTATTAAGAATAATTTGTTTAACAGCGTCGTAATTGTCTTTATTACAGTTTGTGTTAAAAAAACGCAAATAAAATTTAATTTCTTATACCAATGGTTAACTAAAGAATTTGTCTATGACAAATAATTGCATAATGATGGCAATTCTTGAAACGTTTTTTTTACAAAATAAAAATGATTTTTATTTTATTAAAAGTCTAATAAGAACTGTTCCCTTTCATTAATAATGTTGTACATTAACACAATTTAACTAGACCTTAATAGATGTTAATTTGTCTCATCATTTTAAGTTAAAAATAAGAAGTCCAACAAAAAGTTTTCCGGTCACGTGATAAATTTCCATTTCAGCAGGACAACGCAACATAGAAGATTGGCTATACAAAACAACTCAAATCGAGAAATTAAAATATTTATTTTTTCAGTTCAATAGACATTTTCGGGATTAGTTGGACAATACATTCCTAAAAAAGTACGACAATTTCTACAATAATGATAAACATTTTTACAAGAACGCAAAACATAGGGCAATGGCACACAAAACCAACAACAAAAAACACACAATGCCACCGCACATAAATGTGTACAAATCGTAACTCTTGCAGTAATCATACTCATCCCAGTATATCCACATTCAGGACAAATAACAGGCATTGATGTAAAACCATAGTTGTATATTCTCGGAGGAGGTGGTATAGGATTATCAACATAAATATCAAAAGCTGTAGCATAAGTAGGTGGTGGAGGTTTTGCTATAAAAGACGGCGAAGGTATAAAAGTACCTAAAAGTCTTGGTCTACGTCTTAAATCCATTTGCCTTAATACAAAGGAATAAGAAGGTGGTGCGCTAGTAAGTGAATCCGGAGTGGATAAATCTGCAGAATTCGCTTCAGCATTTTCAGTTTGTTGGTTCGTCTTGGGAATGGTGTAAGCGGAGAGACTTATTGAACTTTTATTTAATTGTGTTATACAAAGCTGAAACAGAGTTGGTATTTCTGTCGTGCATGGCGTATTAAAAAATCTTGACGTCGTTGCATTATGCGAGGTTGATGGTAATGGTCGAAGCGGACTTGTGTTTGTTTTTGGTAATGCAAAAATATTTTTAGAAGCACACAATGTTAAAGATGATTTAGGTGACTTTATATTCAATGTTTGCTGTTTATTTGTTGAAATATCTTCTATAATATTTATAAAGTCCTTTTCTAAAGGCTCAGGAGTATTTATGATTGTAGGTTGCATTTCTGGTAGTACAGGCTCTTGTTCCTGATTGATGTTATCATTTTCCTTATTGTTCGGCACGTTCTCTTTCGAATTCTCTCCCATTCTGTTTCAAGTTATTATATTTGTTAAGAAATTACTGAGTAAAGTCTTAGACCCATTAAATTGAATAAACAAATAGCTTGTTTGGAATAGAATCTAATTAAATACTAGTGTCCCTAATAATAAAAAACGCCGTTTTATACATCACATGCAATTAGTTGATCTTTGTTGAGTTTTTTTAATATTAGTTTCAATGTTTAAATAACTGATTCATTGAAGTTTATTTGACAACGTTTGACAACGCTGTCTAAAAGATAAACATTAACACAAAAATTAACCAAGATTTTCATATCATTGATTTCATTATATTTTAAGGAGAAACGAGAACGATAAATAAAATCTAAGTCTCTTAATTTCATCTCTCCCTTACTTGCTGCAAAGCTTGCTTGCGTATCAATTTTATTTGAACACCTCTGTTTTTTATTTTTATTGTATAAATTTATCGATACTGAATATTTTTGGCTGTCAAATATTGTTAAATTAATTCTTTAAATGTTATTTAAGGGCTAAATAAATATTAAGTAAAATTGAAATCAATTTTTTTGCATTAAAAACAATTATTATGGCAACTGCCGTTAAGAACTGTCATCAGGAACTTCTCTTCCGGTCTTTTTATTCCTCCGTGGCATGGCGGATGGTCTTTACCACCGCTTATAGTGTGTTTTTGGAGGAATTTCTTCGCTAATACAGCGAAATGGTAAGTTTACGTTTCAAAAATGTGATATTATAATCAGTTAAATACTAAAGTGGTGAATTAACAGTGTAAGTGCGGGCATAAAACTTAATTTTTACAATACGCTTGATCCCACGTGTTGCATTTAAGTTCCGCGAAATATCGTCAATCTATTCTTTTTTCAACAACTTTGAGCTATCAACCGTCTAAGAACCTCATGTTTAATAGTAAATGACGAAATTTCTCGTAAAATACAAGGCTATTGTTGTTTTGTCAGAATACGGCATGTAACCAATGTGTTTGTCCCATGTCCTTGAAAGCTTGTGTATGTTAGCTAATATTTTCATGAATGTTGCACAAAATTTACAAATTTAATGTATTAACAACTTTTACAACGAATTATTTAAGTTTAAAATGTCAATAGTTTGGTTAATTTTTCGGTACTTTTTGAGGTTATGAATTTACAAACACCTTCAAAATCCTTTCAAATTTTTATATTCTTAACTTTGTTTATATCTAATACTCGATATTATCATTATTTTACGGGATTGGCACGAAAATGAACTGCATTTTGTTGTATGTGATGTGTTTTTACGTTTTCATAACCCCATACTCTTCCTGGTTGTACTTTCGTAGTCTTCTGGGTACAAGAAGGGGAAGATTAAACTTTCTTTTAGGAAACATTGCTCATACCAGTTTGAGTAGTGTGTCGACATTAAGAATACAATATTTCTGCAATCTTTTTTAACTAAACAGTATTAAAGCTTGTTTATTGTAGGTTTCCATTGTCAACACAAAAACAATATTTGATAACTTGAAATATATGAAAGGCAACCCACAATAATTCTAATAATATTGCATAATAATTAGTAACATCATTTACTTATTAAATACTTTAGCAGGAATTAATTTTAAGAACCATAGACATAGCAAATCTTTTTTTGAGTTCTAACACTCTTATATGCCTGACATAATCTCATAAAAAAAAAATTCTTCTATTCCAGAGTCTATCAGTTGCCCGACCTTTAGTGTCGGTATACTCTGAGAAGAGTGAAGTGGAGCAGGGCTCCTCTATCGCTCTCCCATTCGTGTTCAAGGCGCCCATCCGCCCGGACCTCGTCAACGATGTCCATGTATCTATGTCAAAGAACTCAAGGCAGCCGTACAGCGTGAGCAAGGAAGCCGGTATGTATCCACATCTGATGAAAATATACTTATTATGACAAATTATCTGATTTAAAAACTCTTATATCATAAGTAAAGTTTCATAACAAAATTTGCACTAAATGTCCACATTTGGCAAGCTGCAAGTGCTACCAAGTGTTACTGCGGATTAGTGCTATAGTAAATGCACAGACATGGCGTTCCGGAACAACTCTGTAGTAGTTACGGGTGCAGTGACTGTTGTATACTATTTTCTACATTAAATTTTTTTTTACTTTATATGTTATACATTTTTACGAACCAATTACCCGAAAGACTTTATAATTTAACATTGGTTTCCAAGACCAATGTCTCTGTATAAAACAGAGTCACTAACCTCTGTAAGCGAGAAACATATTGCATTTCCTTGTCTATACTCCTTATTGGATCGGTAAATCCTGATGAGATAGTTTCTGTTGTCACTAGGTCATCAAACCAGTGCTGAATCATGGGGAACCGGTCGTGCTGTAGCGCGTATTCCCCGTGTGCGTGGTGGTGGTACCCATAGGTAAGATATATTATAAAGAAATATTATTTTCATATATCTAGGTGGTTCAAGGTCACTTTGTTGTAACTGACATGTCTTATAAGCTATACGTCCCCGCTGTGCTTGCCTACCCTAAGTTAGGAGACTAGGTCATAGTCAATGCTGGTCCAGTGCGGCTTAACTTTATACATATCTTTGAATTTCTACAGACATATGCAGCATCACGATGTTTTCCTTTACTGTAAGAATGTCTGATATATGTTAATCGCAAAACACATTGATACATGGCATAATTTATACCCAAGAGCTGCAGATTACACATCAAGTGCTTTAACCCCTGAGCCTCCAACACTCTTGATATATGAAAGGCAAATTATCTACATCTTTGTCTAGAAATTTAATGTAGATTACTCACTGAGTAACCACTAAGTGGATACTGCTGACCATTAAACAACTCTGTGTGATGACTAGTTTCATTTAGAATGATACTATTGTGGTAATATTTGTATGTACATCAATCTTATTATCATTGTAACCTTTAGCATAAACAGCTGAACCGATTTTGACAAAGTGTCTTTCCATTGGCATTATTTTCCTGAGTGTCGTAGTGCCAAAATCAGTGATATTTTATTTGTGTAGGTCAGGTCAGGGTGCGTTCGGTAACATGTGTCGTGGAGGTCGCATGTTCGCACCAACCAAGCCATGGCGTCGTTGGCACCGCCGCGTGAATCTACGCCAGCGCCGCGCAGCTGCCGCCGCAGCCCTTGCCGCTGCTGGAGTACCAGCCCTTGTTCAGGCCAGAGGTATAAGCTCTCACTTAAACTTGGTTCTGTTCACAATCAGCACATTATGTGTCCCAATGGAGGGACTCGGAGCTTACCCTAAGTTAGGGGTTGATTATTTACATTATCAAATTGTTAACCATAGACAAACTGCAATTTATGTTTGTATTAACTGTGGGATCTTTGTTGAAGTTTTCAGGTTCCTCCTTTTGTCATGACACAGACACGTCTGAACACAGTCGCGGGCGACACATAGTAATAACTATAAATCCTCATCGGTATATAAATTCATAATAAATATTTGCACTAAATGTCCACATTTGGCAAGCTGCAAGTGCTACCAAGTGTTACTGCGGATTAGTGCTATAGTAAATGCACAGACATGGCGTTCCGGAACAACTCTTTAGTAGTTACGGGTGCAGTGACTGTTGTACAAAAATAACTTAAAAATTTTCCATGTTTTGACTTTAAATAACAACTAGCTGTCACCCGTGACTCCGTACGCGAAATTACTTACTAAGCAGGTTATGTGTTCTTCCAGACTATGTTCTATATCTGTGTCAAATTTCAGCAAGATCTGTGCAGCCGTTCTGGAGTTACCTACTAATATATATACATCTAAAAATTCGCATTTATAATATTACTAGCTGTCGTCCGCGACTTGGTTTGCGCAGTATTAAAAATAAAAAGTAGCCTATGTGTTCTTTCACAGTATATTCTACATCACCAAGTTTCAACCACATCCATGCCTTGATATGTCACCGAACAAATATCCAAACATTTTATTAAATAGTATAATATTGTTACAGGCCACATTATTGACAAGATCCCTGAGCTGCCCCTGGTGGTGTCCGACAAGGTGCAAGAGATCAACAAGACCAAGCAGGCAGTCATCTTCCTGAGACGCATCAAGGCCTGGTCTGATGTACTCAAGGTATGTGGAATATTGCATAATAATTTTAATATCGATTAGCTGTACACTGTCCGCGTGGCATGAAAGAAAGTTTAATTAGTTCCCATAGAGTTTTTGGAGTCAGAAACCCACGGTAAGTGTCCCTAATATAAATGATCAGTTTGACAAATACTGGTTCTTATAATTGGGACTAGAATAAGATTCCTATAACAACAGTCTATCTGAATTATTTCAGAATTGATTTAGACTTAGGAAGACAAATTTAAATTGCCCAAATTATATGTAGAGAAACCTTAGTCCTGACGGACGACCTCTAACAGTTCTGGTAAGAGAGAAATCTGTAAGTGAGAAAAATATAGTAATCTGCTAAGGTTTTAACAGTGGTAACACTTTAACATGTTTGCGTGAACTAGTCAGGCTCGCCCAGTGAAAAACTACGACCACACAGAAGACAGGCGTCAAGTGGAAGCAATTCCGCATACAGTCTGATGAGTGTGTGTCCCGGATGCCTAATTTAGTACTCTTTCCCTTCCCACCCTTTTTTCTTATAAGGAAAGAAGTGGAAGTGGACTAACCGGATGAGAGGATGCATGGAAAGTGAAAATATTTACTTTCTGTGCATCCTCTCCTCCGTTGATTAAAGGTAGGCAACGCATATGCAATTGCGTATGTCTATGGGCATCGGTCACTTTGCTATTTCAGCGATTTGAAGTGGCTGGCTTGTTTGCCACCTTGATATAAAAAAAAAATGGTCTCGCTTACATTAGTTTAACTGTACTTATATCTTAAACGAGTAAACATCTTTTAACAAACGAGGTGTCATTCGATTTGTATTCTTCCCCCGAGTGACATAGATCAGTCTAGTTTTTTTTTAACTTATATTTTTGTTATGTAGGTGTACAAATCTCAACGCCTCCGCGCCGGTAAGGGTAAGATGCGTAACCGTCGTCGCATCCAGCGTAAGGGACCTCTCATCGTCTACCACAAGGATCAGGTAAGTTATATTATAGTCTGAGTAGGAATTTAGAAAATCTAGCGTGGGGGCGCCTGAAACTAGCTTTACAGGTGCTTAACCCTTTTTAAATATGTTTTTAAAGGGAACTTCATTTCTCAGAAACCCACGGTTAGTCGTCTTTTCAATTGAAACTAGCCTGGATGCACCTTAGTCGCCTTTTTTAACTTATTTTCTTAGTCAGACCCTCACAAGCCTTACTTAATTCATTTAATATGAATTGGGTTACGAAGTTGAGGGTAGATTAAAATTAACACCCGAAGGAAACTTCAGCTGATTGTTGTCTTAGCTGATGTGTCGACATGAGGTGTACATTTATATATTTACAAGCTATCGCCCGCGACATCGTCTGCGCGTAATAAAAAAAAAACTAGTTAGTAGCCTATGTGTTCTTCCAGACTATGTTCTCTGTGCATGCCAAATTTCATCGAGATCCATTTAGTCGTTTTGGAGATACCTTCAAACAAAGATCCACTCATCCTTCTAACATTCGTATTTATTATATTAGTAAGATTTACAAGCTGTGGCCTACGACTCCGTACGCGAGGAATTAAAAAAACATAATTAGTGTAGCCTATTTGTTCTTCCAGACTATGTTCAACGTCTATTGTACAGCCAGTCCATTACAGTGGTCAGAACTCCATTATATTGACATGTTTTCAAACAGGGTCTTACTCGTGCGTTCCGTAACATCCCCGGCGTTGATATGCTGAAAGTAGACAAGCTGAACCTACTGAAGTTAGCTCCAGGCGGTCATGTCGGCAGGTTCATCATCTGGACCAAGTCTGCTTTTGAGAGGCTCGGTGAGTATACAGTGGTAGAGCGGCCATATGTCTATGCGTCCGCTCTATGTTACAAGACTGCAAAAAAGACTAACAACTAAATTTAGGGTAATTTTTATAAGTGTGTCTGAGGATGATTCCAGTCTTCTTTATCTTTCTCACTTTTATGTAAAAGAAAAGGCGGACAGGGGAATGTTTTCTGCACATCCTATCCTCTGTTAAGAAGTAGGCAATTGAAACCTTATAAATTCTTTGAATTTAATATAAAGATATGATTTTAAGGTTTTGGTCTTAACTAGCTATTGCCAGCAACGTGGACTTGATAAAAACCTTAAAAGGCTATGTGTTCTTCCATATTATGTTCTACATCTATTACAAGTTTCAGCGAGATTCAAGCAGCTGGTTCATAATATAATATTAATTAGATGAAGGCTTGTTTTTTTTTTATAATTTATGAGTTATTCCCCACAAATTTTTACTTGTTATACATTTTGTGTATCAGAGTTGTAAATGTGTGGGATAAATAATTTTGTTCCCATAGGAAGCATTGTATTGTTCAAGCAATGCAGTGTGTCGATATGTTGGAGTACATTTTTGTTAATTTTACTTAAAAAATATTGTTTTTTTTTAGTTAAATAAACTATAAATCAGATTGACAGTATCTTATGACACCCTTTGTAAGAATATGAATCGAATGACACCTCACTTGTCAAAATCTGTTCACTCGTTTACTATACAGGTGTTGCAACTAAAATTAAACACACTAAAAAATATCACTGTCTTGTTACATATAATAACTATAGGTTAATTTTTATCATAAATTAATTATCTTATATTTTTATCTAGACCCACTGTTCGGTTCATGGAAGACACCTTCAAAGGAGAAGAAGAACTTCAACCTTCCTCAGCCCAAGATGGCCAACACTGACCTTACCCGTCTGCTCAAGTCTGAGGAGATCCGTAAAGTGCTAAGAGCGCCCAAGTGAGTAAATATTTAACTAAAAACTAGCGATATCTCGCGACTCTGTTGGTATAGAAAAAAATTGTAGCCAATGTGTTCTTACAGACTATGTTCTATATGTATGCCAAATTTTAATATGATCCATTCAGCTGTTCCGGAGATACCTTCAAACAATCATCTAAACATTCGCATTTATAATATTAGTAAGACGAGGATATACTTTGAGTAAAGTTCTATATCAAGTTCTCACAATAATTAGACATTTCCATATACATTTAAATTTTCCTCTCTTATTTCTCTTTATCCATGTTTTTTGACCATTCTCCCACTTGATGTGTAGTTTCTCCCTTATAGAGATTGTCCGTTTGGTCCGATTGTACTATGATAAATATTTTATTTAAAAACTTTGAAACTGTATAAACATGATGATATTCTCTATCAGAGCATTGGGTTATGATCATCCATGATTACTCAATCACGTTGACAACAACTGACACAAACGCAACACAACACAACAACTCAATGATTCAACCAACACTCAACAATAATATAATTTCAGCAAGCGTGTGATTCGTTCAACTCGCAAACTGAACCCGTTGACCAACACCAAGGCGATGTTACGTCTCAACCCGTACTCCGCTGTGTTGAGAAGGAAAGCTGTACTCGACCAGCAGAGGAAGAGTAATGCACGTGCTCTGGCTTTGGCTGAGAAGAGAGGCGTAAGTAAACTTTTATTAAATGGTTGAAGTATCAGACTTGTAATCTAATCATCTAGATTCAGTCCTCATCAAGTATAATTCATTTCAAATTTCTTAACGGCTCTGAAATTTTCGTGAGACGCTGCACAGAACACAATTTTTGGTATCTTGGGCTGTAAATGTGGGGATAAGGTACTGTGCAGCAGACAATGGCTTTTGGCTACCAAGATTTTTGAATAGAGTTAAATTGTTGTGTTATTTTAGTTTAAAAATTCATATGTACATTTATCCAACATACTAATGACGAAGGAAAATGCAGAGATAGTAAACTGACGCGATTTAATATCAAATATAAAGAAAAAAGCTTAATTACTCGGGTTTCAACAGTTTTTTTTTTCTAAATTAATCTTATGATGATATTCTCTATCAGAGCATTGGGTTATGATCATCCATGATTACTTCACGTTGACAACAACTGAAATAATAACAACTAAACACAACAACAACTTATCATCGACCATCCATCTAACGACCACATAATTCCAGATCAAGTTGCCATCAAGTGATCCAGCAGTGAAAGCGCAGAAGTTGCGCGAGAGGAGACAAAAGCTGCTCAAACTCGCGGCCGCTAAGAAGACTAAGAAGCCAGTAGCCAAGAAACCCCCTCCACCACCTAAGAAGGTGAAAAAAGAAACCAAGGCCAAGGCACCGGCCAAGAAGTAGACAAGAAATATACTTTATAACTGAATTATGGTGTTTTTATTCCATCGTCACAAATAAGACCCTGTTGTTATATTTATTTGATATCTGTAATATTTTAATGATAAAAAAATATATAAAACCTACTTGGAATATGACATAAAAGAAAAAAATATGATTTGACAGTGCAAGGATCTTGCGATATTTTTGACAATGACAGGAGGGCGCTAGCGAGATGTCAATTTAGTTTGACTTGTTCCCACCGATTCAGATATCCCTGTTGGTCTATAATTTCTTTCGATTAAAAAACTTTCAAAGAATTCTCTGTAGTGAGTTACGATTCTGGATATTTTCGTGATTGTGAAAAAAAAAACATCACTATTAAAAGACATGTTTATTTACATATAAAATAATCACAAAGTTTCTTACGAGATATGTTTATATATTGCATAAAGTTTATTATGACATTAAAATAAGTATAAAGTTTACATAACTACAATAAAAATCACATTTAAATACAAATTTATTTATCGAGATAGTTCAAAGTGGCTTTAAACTTCTATAAATCCACTGGGCAGGTTTACATGGAAATTATAACGACGACAGTTGAGTTACTACGAGGCACAAAACACCACGACTTATAGCCTATCCAGTGGTTTTTTAGTATTGCCAGAATGAAATTTAACAGTAAAAAATATTTTTTATACCTCTATAAGTTAACAAGATAATTTATAGAGATCTTTAGTTCACATCGCACGCAAATATCTGTTTTCAGGAATGATTTAAGACCAATTAATTTATAAATACGCTCTATTCACGTTGAAATGTATAAATATCACAATATTATTGCCTTTAATATAAAATAATAGACATTTTTCTAAATAATCATATAAAATATTAGTTATTTTCTATATTCTATAAACTCCTTACATGCAATGACTTAAAATAATGTTACTAAAATGTAACAGGGATTAAGTGAAATGCATAAAAGCAATAGGTGCGATAGAGATAGAACATATTGCTTTGCTCCAGTGCTGCCAACATAAAAACTTAAAGTAGATTATAAATTCAGCTGTCATTTTTATAATAAAATTGTGCTTTATTATTAAACGATTATTATGCGATCTTTTTAAAGTTAATTCGTAAATAACTGAACTGTTTTAAATTTTATTTCTAATACAAAGTTTAATTTGGACCAAAGTTTACTACAAAATTTCGCCAATATCGGCTTTATTGGACCAAACGCATTCAGTCTATTCGATTTCTAAGTCTTCTTAGACTTTTAGATTCAATTTCGAACCTTATTTCATATGTAATTAAGTTCAATTTCGAAATATTGTAAAATCACGGACAATTTCAATGCAAATTCAACCTTTTAACACAAAATAAGGTTTCATTTCGATGAAATTATCAATTCTAATTCACTTTAACGCATTTTCAACCTTATCTATATATAAAAGAAAGTGGTGTTAGTTACACAATTTATAACTCAAGAACGGCTTTACCGATATGCCTGAAAATTGTTGAGGAGGTAGCTTAGAGCCAGGAGACGGACATAGGATACTATTTATTCATTTTTTTCGAGTTTACGCCTTGAAGAGCTGCTTTTTTAACTTATCTACATATTAAGTTTTTTTATATATTCACGCGGATGGAGCCGCGGGCAATAGCTAGTTACATATGAATTAAGGTTGAAAATATAAATAAATTAAAAATGTACTGCGTTATACCTACATATGTGTACATCATTTTGAACCTTATCTTATAGCCAATAAAGACTTATTTGATTTGATAGCTGCTCTTAATTTCTTCACAAAAGCTGCTGGCTGTATGAGGATGGATACTTCTGTACCATGCATACTTAAACGGTTCATTTCTTCTTCACCACCCTGAAATCATTTTACTAATATTATAAATGCGAATGTTTAAACCAGTCTTTCCCAAAGTGTGAGATAACGTCCCCTTGTGGACGCTGCAGGTGTCAAGTTGCGAGTTATAGTAAAAGTTTTATTTACAATTCTCCGTTAATATACATATATAGGTCACAATAATTAATTTAATTTGAAGTTATAGTGGTTTTTAAATATGTGCAAATATGGGGGTGTTAAAAAAATATTTATTCTCAAAGTTGGCAGTAGACAAAATAAGTTTGGGAACCACTGATATAGAACATAGTCTGTAAGAACACATAGACTACAATTTTTTTTCTAATCACAGAGTAATTATGTCTTACGTACCTTTAATAAATCTATAGGTCTGTTATTCACTTCAGTAACAGCCCATTTTCCCTGCGGAGGAATACCTGCCCTACTAGCACAAGATCCTCCCACAACTGATGATATAACACATTCACTGTCTAATTTTATACCTAAAAGTAATTACATCGTTTTACAATCTTACTAATATTATAAAACTGTTCAGTAGTTTTTGAGTTTATTAGTTAAATATAAATATTGTTAACTTACCTATATTTTCTCTATCTCGTTTACTTATCACGTATATCTTACCGAGAGGCACGCGATGGAATAATATGTCTACCTGTAACATATGATAATTATTTTTAAAATACACCGTGGTGTCATTAGCTCAAATAGAATGGTCCAGTAGACCAGCAGACTAGTAGACCAGTAGACCAATAGTTCAATGGTTAACTGGATTACTAATCAAATGTCAAATATTCAAACTTTCGTGAGACATTATACTAAAGTGATATATAAAGACGGCTAAACACTGACGTATATACGCCCGGTGGCGGCACCGACTAGTTTCGAGTGAGTACCACTCATCCTGATGAATCGCCCTCGATGGGCTCGAAACTAGTCGGTGCCGCCACCGGACAAATATACGTGAGTGTTTAACCGTGTTTATATATCAAATGACAAATAGATTAGGAGACCAATAGTCTAGTAGACCAATGGACTGGTATTTTAATTGTGCGATAGACCATCCAGTAGACCAATGGGTCAGTAGATCTGTAAACGATAAACCAATGAACCAATAGTGTAATGGTCTGCTACTGTAATTGGCTAGTAGATCAGTGGGCAAACTAGACAGGCATATTGGTCAGTACACCAGTAGACCATTGGACCAGTAGATTAATGTGTTAATATAACAGTA